ATTGCAATTAAATCTATCAGATAACAAAATGCCCATTTTATAGGCTAATAGGCAAGGGGTTGTCAAAAATAGCATGGGGTGGGGAGGGGGGCACTGCCCTGGAGAATATGTACAGTACCAATGCAAAAATAATTTTAAAAAATTCCATTCAGCCAGGAACCGTGTTTTTTTTTATTCTTACCATGAAACATTAAAATTACCAATTCCAATTCATAAATAACATGCCTGGAGAATTCCCTAATTATTCTTGTAAATGGGGAGCATATACATGATACATAGAAAGTGTTGCAGCAACATTGACAATTACAAGTAAAAAGTGTTTTAAATAGCCAGCAAATTACATTTTTTCTGCTGCCTTCTTTTTTTTTTGGGAGGACCTTTGGAAGGGTCTTGGTGGTGTTGTTTTTTTTTTTTTTTTTTTTAAAGAAGCCAGCATTTGCTGGCAATTAAACATCATGTGCTGGTAATGCTTGCCGGTAGTTTACACTGTGTAATTTTCTATTTGTAAATGTCACCCTTGCTGTAGCATATCCTACATGAAGAATGATGAAAAGAATGGGGGTAGAGTCCCCTCAAAATGCATACCAGTCCTTGTTTAATGGATCATAGCAGATTATCCAATAGATACATGTCTTTGACCATACATGTCCTTGACCATTATTAGGCTATCAACAGAAATCGAAAGACATCCGGCATGGTACACACAACTTTAAGAGAAAGATAAGGCAAGGTGAATTAATTCCATTGGTTTCAGGAAGTAGATCAGATCACTGTTATGTTACAATCTTCCATGTGTAAAGCCTTGTTCTTGTACCCCTTTTTTTGATTGAAAAGATAATTTTATTACAGAAGTATAAAAAACAACATGATACTTTGTAATCGGGGTACATCTCACCCTGTACTGCGACGCAGCGCACCACATTGCAATACAGTTCCAAGCATACGATAAATACATTCAGAAATAAATAAATTCGCTCAGCGGTATGATGTCCGACGTGATGTGCGTGGAGGATGAATCCCCCAGACCAACACGTCATGCATAACGCCGCTTACCCCAAAAACCATAGCATCCTAATACACAGTACGTTTCCTAATGTCACGAAATCATGCAAAAAAAACGAAAGCCGAATGTTACGATCCACAATAAGCATCGGGTGTGTGGGGGGGGGGGGCAAAGGGGGGGGGTGGATGAGGCGCTTCCTGGGGAAAACACAGGCCCGAAGCTTTATTGAAGGGACAAAGACACGCAAGGGGGAGTATGGGGAAGGGGAGATCTTCAGACGTCCTCTTCCTCCTTAAAGTTGTTCTTGTACCCCTGCCACATGTCAAAGGGGAGATCCTCAGGAAAGGGAAAACCCCAATCAAAGGTCCCCCCCCCCCCCTGTCTGCTGTCAATTGCCACCCACTAAGGGAGAGAAAGCACATGCTTGCATTCCACGGCTCTTATAGTCTTATCTACTCTTGGTTACTATACACTGTTGCACCAGATTCTGTGTGCACCAGTTTTAGTAAATCTTCCCCATTATGTCAAAACATTGGTACCTTTTGAAAAAGAATGTGGTGCATGTAACCAGTGTAAATATATTTATACATCTAAGCAAATTAGACCTCTAAATGGGGAACTGTTTATGACAAAAAATCTAAATTTATTTTACAAAAATGGGTATTTATTCAATGTTCTGTGAATGTAATGCTTATTGTAGGCAAGACAAAAAAGGGCCTACACAGAAGGACATAGGATTATGTCCATGAGGTAAAGTATGGAGAATTTCATTCTTGGTAGCACGTAATTTTGTGTTGTGTAATTGATGTGAAAGCATACAAAGCAAACTTTTTTTTGTTGGAATATTTTGATATGTCAAAAAGAGATGGTGATCTTAACAGGCTATTGTTACAATTAGGAAGAAAATGGATACAAACTTGCAGCTGTGAAATATCTAAATGTCTAAATGAAGGAAAAGTATTTATTCAGTTTTTGTAATTAGTTTCTATATTTATTTGATTATTTTTTATGTTCTTTGTTTTTGCGGTTTTTGATGCAATTTATAATGAAATCATGAACTGTTTAATATACTGTAAAAAGTTTTTTGCGGTGTTAATATAGTAAATCATAGATGTGTAGGTTTATTGCAATTTCCTTAAGGAGGTGGACACTGGCAAACAGAAAAAAAAGTAAAACCCACTATCTCGCCATTAACCATTTTGATAGTGTCCTAGGAGGTTGCCTGCTTTTTCTAGACCTTTTTTGCTTTTTTCCCCCTTCAGTCAAGACATTTAATACACTGATGAAGCAGTCTACATCTTTGGCATAGCTTTGGAGGCCATACCCAGACCCTACCGAACCAAAGATGTGGGCTCTGCTTGGAATGTGATGATGAGGAGTCCTTGAGAGTATGCCTATGCAAGAGGCAAACAAAAAGTTTTGGGAAGTAATTGAATGTATTTATGGCAGTCGCAGAGTACTAAACAGGTGCACAACAGTGACATTTATCATGTGCCCAGTCTCTGATAGCTTTTTTCATTTTCAATGTGGTTTCCCTGGCAGTTCTGTCATTTACTGACAGTCTCTGTGCTCTGGCAGATTATATCTGCCTTTCAGCGTCTCCCAGGATTTAGTTGCACACATTACTGTCACCTTCTCAGTGCTGCATTTTCACGTTTGAACACTTTCTATTCTACTACCCATGACTGAGAGGGGTCTTTGACCTGAAGGTTATATGAAGGGTTTGTCCATGATAAAAAAAAGTTGAGAAAGGCTGGTTTAAGGGCTGCCTTCAGTGTTCAGGTTCCTGAAGCAGACAACCTTGTCCGTTGTCCTCTTCTGAAATCTTTTCTCCTTAGCATCCACCTCTGCTCATTGAGTAAAGCAACCTCTGGTACACTCAATATTATGTCTAACCTGGTAGACTCTGTGTGTTGACCTATAGAAGTTAAATCTACTGATTCAGATATAGGCTGTTCCATTGCGTATACTTCTGCAAAGACCTTTCCTTTACCTTTCCTTTCTGTCTTGTGTGAAGACTGGAAACTTGCAACACTAACGTTTCTTCCTCCTGATCACGTAAAGCTGTTTTCCCCCTGGACAACTGGTCCCTGCCTTTTGTGGAATCTCTAGTCCTTCACACTAATAGACATCTTATCATCTTAGTGAGAAATGTCTTTATATTAGGGACTTTACTGATTCTTACTTAGAGTCCTTGTTTAGGTCCCAATCTTCATTAACTGAAATGCCTCTCTGCCCTCTTCTAGCATTGACTTTCATGTGAAACCATATGTAATTGTATCACATCTTTTAAAATAGATTTATCTAACTCAAATCATGATCTTTGATCCTTTACAACTTAAGTGTATGCATGAAGCCCTTTACTTCCGCTGTGCTGGTCTTTTAGATGCCTCTATGCTGGTGTCTCACATGACATCTATGCTTTGCCTATATGAACAGGGCTCTATAGCTACATGTTTGTTGAGTATATGATACATTTAAACAATGTTTATTGACCTGTCTTTTCAGAGAATGCATCTTTTTGATTCTCTTAATAGAGGCACACCCAAACCATCTGATCCTCATTCAGACTGCCCCTTAACCATTCCCTAAAAAAAATGATTTCACTCTGCTCAAGGAGACATTAATTATGTTGGTTTGTAAGATCAACAGAAACAGATCTTTGCTGTCTCAATACCGAGTTCATCTATCTGACATATTCGGAGATCCTTATAGGATCTATTTACTAGGTGAACTTCCATCTCTTCTTTAGATCAATCTGACCCTTTATGTATATAAATATATGTTCTTTTGCTTTCAGGTACATTGATTGCTTTACAATATATCCCCACTAGCCATCTCTCTGGGGCTTGGTACCTCACCTCTTTGTTTCTTATTGACGGTCTCCACCCCTCTATCCATTAGATTATTATTGTGAGGGTTGTTTTATTTCAAGGGTTATAGGTATTCTGTGTTCACCCCCCAGCTGTTCACTGGTTGATCCTTGGTTAAGACATACTTGTATCTTCAACATTCCTTCGCTGAAGTGAAGAAGTAAATATTCTAGGTTTTGGCGTTCTCCATACAGACATTTGTATTTGTTTTTGATGACCAGGTTTGCTTCTGGTCTACATCTCTCTTGGCTGTTGCTTTCTATTATTATTATACAGGATTTATATAGCGCCAACAGTTTTCTCAGCACTTTACAAATAACGGGAGACAATACAGCAACAATACAGTTCAATACAAGAGGCTCCTTAGAGCTTACAATCTAAGAGGGAGGGGCTAGTGGTACAAAAGGTAGTGGTAGTGAGCAGAGTGGGCGATAGTTTGATAAATTGGGGTAGAGAGTACCAGAGGATGGGGGAAGCTCTGGAGAAGTTCTGGAGATGAGCATGGGAGGAGGAGACAAGGGAGCTAGAGAGCAGAAGGTTTGTGAGGAGCGGAGAGTACGGTTTGGGTGATATTTGGAGACAAGATTGGTGATGTTAATTTGGGGCAGAGTTATAAATGGCTTTATATGTTATTGTTAATGTTTTGAATTTTATCTGTTTGGCAGTGGGAAGCCAATGGAGGGATTAGCAGAGAGGGGTGGCTGATACAGAACGGTTTCTAAAGGTAGTTGTTTAGTTTCCCACTTTTGTTGAGGGCTATCCTGAAATCTACGGACTGCAAAACAACTGAATGCATTTTGCATTGTAATCTTTTTTTTTTATTTTATGGTTAAAACGCCCAAAATGCAGCACGCATGGCTTTTCCATTGTTCTGAATTACAATTCAATTCATTGGTCGGAACAGGTCCTACTGAAAAAAATCTATTTTCTTATGTCTATGTTATTTGCTTGTGCTGGTGTTCACTGAAAAGAAGCACTAATGCATTTAAAATATGGTTGGAGTTATTTGCATAATAAAAATAAAATAAGCCCCTCTAATGATTTTGCTATATTTTACTTTTATTAAATGTTTATCTATTGAAACAATGTATGAGTTAGCAATGTGTATATGTTTGTCTTGAAAGATGCAGAGTTTGACCTCTGAAACTGGATCTGGATTCCTGGATGAGAATGGAATCTGTTACTGCACCATCAACCTCCCAGAAGCCACCTTCCCAGCAGGTCGTTTTGAGAAGCTGGAGATAGCAAACCACAACCTGACAATCACCATGGAGAAGGAAATCACAAAGGTATAAAAACTGTAAACTCCCATATATGAGAAGGAACTGATTATTGCATGCGTTTTTCTTTGGTTTTGGTTTTAGGTTTTGGTTTTCTTTGATCTATTCTCTGTAGTGAGGGTGAAGGTGGCCATTTCAGGCCTCTCATTCTAAAAATACAGTTTTCCTGGAGATTATGCTCAGTCCAAAGTTTCACTTTTTTGAGTCACTGACTCAGAAAAATTATACAAATGTAGGAGTTCTAGAAGTCAGAGAAAACCCAAAACTAGCATTTCAGATGGAGATTAACAATAGCTGTCTCCAACTTACAACTTTCCTCCAAGAGTATTTTTTTTATGCACAATCACTAGACAGAAATCTGGCTGTATGCATTTAAATTTGTATTAGAAAGAAAAATGTTTCCAATCAAGAAAAAAAAATGGGGAAAAAATATTTCTAATAAAAATGAAATTAATATAAAAAAGAAATCTGTCTTTATGAAAGAAACGCTGGCTCCTAAAAATACTATTTCATCTCAGATATCTTCAGTTTTGACAACTTCCTGAAACATATTAAATCTGTCTGTCTTCTCAAGTATTCAAAAGTCAACGTCCTGCCTAAGAGAAGACACTGCAAGATGTCTGGTATTCAAAAAAAGGAGGCTTTCTATGACCCTCTGAAACTAATTTCCCTTTGTTGCTTCAGAACTAAGCCCCACTAACTGCCTTTTCTTTGTCCAGAGACAGGGTCCTTATCAGACAGGGTCCTTATCAGCTACCGAGCTACCTATTTGGACAGGGTAATACCAGTTGACTGGGCTTAGACTTAAAGTTAAGTCAGACCCCAAGTAATAAAGGGAAAGTATTTTCAGGGACACAAAGAGGGTCCTGACTAAGAAAAGGTATCAGCAGTGGCTGCTCTTAGAAAAAGACTTTTACTTTTGGAAATCTAAAAGGGTTGGCAGGTTCACAATAGTTTTTTTTTTACTCCCTTTCGCTGCTGATTTTTTTTTTTCGACTTTGCAATTTTTTGCAAATATTTTACAAAAATCATCTTAGTCCTAAAGATTACATAATAACCCCAGACATTACATATTTTATGAAAGCAGACACCTTAGAAAATAAAATGGTGGTAGTTACAATTGTTTTTGTTACACAAAATTAGCACAATGGTTAAGGAAATGCAAAATCTCAGTAATCAATGCACTAAAGTTAATTTTATGGCACAAAAATGCAATATATTTCCCTTTTCTTTTTTTTTTTTGGTAAAATCTAAAATATAAAGTTGCGCCAAGCAAATAGGTACACAACATGTCAAACCTTAAACTTGCATGTACCTGTGAAATGGCAACAAACTTTGGTACCCTATATTTTCCATAGGTGACTATTTAAAAGCCTCTACAGGTCATCATTTTTGAGCATACCAGGAGCTCTGGTGGTACAATTATTGCTATTATTCCAGTATGCATGGCAATAACACGTGTAGGGCAATCAATCTTCTGTTGCCCCAGATGCATGCATTTACATCCATGTGTGTAAATGTGGAATTGGGGAGCCGTCAAAAATATTTTGGGGGATTTAAAGTGCCTGGGTGAAACTTTGATCTTTTACAATTTACACTTTTTTTTGCTAACTTTATTTTTTCATCACACAGGCGATACAACCAGAAATGGCAGCCCACATTAGGATAGAATAAATTATAATTTATATATTTAATAATGCTAGATTTATCAGACTTTAAAGTATATTGACAGTAATACATACAGGTGTGACCTCTCTGTCTAGATCTACATATATCAGAGTACACTGACTGTGTACATAGAGCAGATGAAGAACTTAACCAAACGTGTGGAGGTCATGGAGAACGGAGGCCTTTCCTACACTGAACTGGAGTTTGAGCTCATCAAGTTGGAGATCAAAGAGATGGAGACCCTCATACTGCAGCTGAAAACATCATTTAATGGTTCCAGCATCATAATAGAAAGTCTTTACCAGGAGGTAAGACAATACTATGCATTCATTACTTTTACAGTAGTACAAGGTCGCTTTTAGTTTTACCATTGTAAACATCTGGTGCTTTCACATACAGAGGAACATGTTACTTCCTCAACAGAGGGAAGTGCTCAGACTCGAACAGCCAGTAACTATGACATCATCAATTCTATGTAAGTTTCAACATTACTGACACTTACAAATTGATTCCTACAGAAAATCAGAACATAAAGGCATTGTGGAGTTTGTGACTATTGATAACTGAGTGTGGTGGTCTGTTAGATACTCTAAAGTAGAAGTCTCCAAACTTTTGAAACAAAAGGCCAGTTTACTTTCCTTCAGACTTCAGGGGGGCTAGACTCTGGCTATTGGGAGTAGAAAAGGTCCAAAGTGGGAAAAACAATGCCCTATCTTTGACGTTAGGGGGAGGAACTATGTCCCATTTTGGTGTCATTGGGAGGAATTGTGCCCCATCATTGATGTAATTTGGCCCCATCATTGATGAAAATTTTGGCCCCCATTGTTGGTGTTATTGGGAGAAACTGTGCCCCATCAGTGGTGTCATTGGGAGGAATTGTGCCCCATCATTGGTATCATAATGAGGAATTGTGTCCCATCTTCGGTGTCATTTGGAGAAATTGTGCCTCATTGTTGGTGTCATTGGGAGAAATTGTGCCCCATCTTATGTGTTATTGGGTGGAATTGTGACTTTTCATTGGTTTCAGCGGGGGGGGGGGGAATTTTTCCTCATTGTTGGTACCAGTGAATGAAATAGGTGTCCTTTTATGAAGCAGTGGTAAATCACCGCTGCTCAGTCTCTGGCATTCTCAGAGGAGAGAGAGTTCTCCTCTGAATGCCTTTTTATGAAGCGGTGTAGATCACTTCTCCGAATGAAGGGAGAAGTGATCTGCAAACACTGGAAAATGGCTGCTTTTTCTATAATCTCACGAGATTACAGTAAGAGATCAGTCAAACACCGTTTTACTAAGCAGCAGTAAATGATTGCTGCTTCGTTTGCGGTTCCTCCGATTCTCCCGCTCTGGGCTGGAGAATCTGGAGGGAGAACACAGATCACCAGTGAAGGGCTGACATCGCTCCTTCATACACTGGCCATCTGTGTGCGGAGATGATCAGTGGAGAACATGTTCTCCGCTGATCATCTCTGTTTCCTAAACCACTAATGATCAGAGATCAGCAACGATCCTCAGGATTGCTGCTGATCTCTGTTTCATAAAAGGACATAGTGTCCCAAAGGCCAGATAAAAGAAAGCAAAGGGCCACATCTTGCCCCGGGTCACAGTTTGGAGACCACTGAGAATAATTTTGCTTATGGAAAGTTTTTAGTCACCTTTCCCTCTTGCACTCCCCGTTCCTCTTACTAGAGTGTTTTTTTTGCTGTGACACACTACATCCATGTATCTTTTTCTCTATGGGCCCCAACAAAGAAGCCATCTCCTTGCTGGCTAAAAACAAGTAAAGAACAAGCACTATGTTGCTCAAATATTAAAATTAAACTATTAGCTTGTTTTTGTACTTTGTAGATTCGTAATATTTCCATCATGGTGAACCAGTTGGAAATCTATGATAAGAATAACGTACTGGTGATCAGACGGGAGATTGTAGCTCTAAAGAAACGCCTGGAGGAGTGTGAGAAGAACAATACAAAACCAAACTATCCTTTCCCTTCCTTCACCAGATATTGGTAGGTTAAAGCTTGATTTTCAGTGGACAAAAGTAATATTTAACAATTTATAATAATGTACAGCAGCCACCTGTTTTTTTTTATTTTTAGTACATTTAAAGGGGACCTGTCATTAGAGGCTACCATCTGAAAGTTACCTAGCTGTCATACTGATCATGTTGTTCAATCACTTCAGTACCAGGCACTTTTACTCCCTTCCTATCCTGGCCAATTTTTAGATTTCAGTGTTGTTGCACTTTGAATGACAATTACTCGGTCATGCAACACTGTACCCATATGACATTTTTATCATTTTATTCACACAAATCGAGAATTTCTTTTGGGGGTATTTAATCACTGCTGGGTTTTTATTTTTTGCTAAATAAATTAAAAAAATACCAAAAATTAAAAAAAAAAAAAAACTAAATGCTTTTTTCATTCTGTTATAAAATTTTGCAACTAAATAAATACTTTTTCTTCATAAATGTAGGAGGCCAAAATGTATTCTGCTACATTTTCTTTGGTGAAAATAACCCAAATCAGTGTTATATTATTGAGTTTGTAGGAAGTTATAGAGTCCACAAACTATGGAATATAACTGGAAATTGAGCAATCCTGAGATATACTGACAGTCTATCTCATTTCTTGAGGCCCAACAATGTCAGAACAGCACATATATCTGCCAAATGACCACTTTTTTGGAAACCATTTTTACTGAATGAAATTGATTCATTTAGAGTGTATTGTTGTGATTAGCTGTGATTTTTAGTAGCTGATTTAATAACTTACTGAATATGCATATTATTTTTTATTAACCCTTTTTTGTGCTCCAGTATATAAGCTGGTGCCATGGCCGATGCCTCAGGTTTCCTTTATCAGGGTGGCTCCTTTCTCTTGCAGCATCTTATGGAGTCACACTTGCATGCAGGGACTAGAATTGTGTCTCTCTACACTGTGTGCATCAATAGAAACACACGCACCCCAAGTCAAGGATAACAAGGTATTCACCTTCACCTTCTCCTCCCTCCTCCTCCCCACCTCCCTTCTTCAAACTAAGAGACTGGCTGCAGGCCACCCTGTCCACTGTTATGGCTTTTCTGTGAAGATTGGAAGTTCAGGGAAGCAGTACTGAGAGAGCAGGAGCCAGCAGAACAGGTTGTAAACTGTAAGTGCTGGAATAAGAATTTAAACAAACCGTTACTGAAGAATGTTTATTGTTAAACTAAAAACGCTGGGGATTTAACACTACTTTATGAGCAAGTAGTCAGATAACTTCTGGCTTTCCTGATCTGCATATTTGTACTGGGTTAGATACTTTTTTTAAGCCAACTGACAAATATATCAGCTTCATAACTACCATTTTCAGATAACGGTTAGCAGTGGTCGCCCCCATAATTCTCTGATGACAGCTACCCCATTCTAACATTATTATTAATATACAGGATTTATATAGCGCCAACAGTTTGCGCAGCGCTTTACAATATAAGGGAGACAGTACAATTACAATACATTTCAGTACAGAAGGAATTGGAGAGCCCTGTTCGTGGAGCTTACAATCTAAAGGAAGGGGGAGGTGGTACAAAGGTGATAGCTGTAGGCGATGTTCTGATGGAGGTGGCTCAAGTACAATTCTTAGGTGGAGGTGGGGTAGGATTCCCTTAATAAGTGAGTTTTCAAAGATCGCCTGAAGGCAGACAGTGTGGGGGCTGACGGACATACTGCAGTAAGGAGTTCCAGAGAATGGGAGAGGCTCTGGAGAAGTCCTGGAGGCGAGCGTGGGAGGAGGTGATGAGGGATCTAGAGAGCAAGATGTCTTGGGAGGAGTGGAGCGGGCGATTTGGACGATATCTGCGGATGAGGTTGGCGATGTAGCTAGGGGCAGTGTTGTAGATGGCTTTGTATGCTGTGGTTAGTATTTTGAATTTTAAACATATTATGCTCATTTCTGAACTGTTGGATATGAGCAGCCATACACAATCTTCCAGTCCTTTCATCTCTACACCTGTACATGTGCTCTAGACTATACTCACCCTGTGCACTCAGTAATCATGCTTCATCACATCCTAGCCTTGATTTTTTTTTTTTTTGAATCAATGACCATAGCTATAGGGGGTCCTGGAAAGATGTACAGCATGTAACGCCCTCCTAGTTACACTAGGTGGAGCTAGACCCTGATGGCTAGAGAGGAGCTGATTAGCAGCTAAGGTGAGATAGTCAGAGGATTCAAAATCTGGTCAGGGCTGAGAGACTCTGCAGGCCAGGCCCTTGGGAATTTCCCCCTGATCTATGGCTTTTGGGGGAAGAAAGCAGAAGTTGGAGTTGGGGAGTGGAGAGGAGTAAGAAGCAGAAAGATGTGAGGTTGGAGGAGGAAGGCTGCTGGGATGGGCCCTGCCTGCAGGCCTGGAGCTTAAAAAGGAGGAAAACTCAGGACTCACTGGTCCCCTGAAAGAGGACCACCTGTGTGGCAAGGAAGGAGTAGCCCAGCTGATAGGCCTGGTAGCAGTTGCCATTCCACAAGCTGTACAAGAGAGGATCTGAGTGAGTACACCCCCCTGGGTGGATAGGGGAAGGAGTACTCTGGTGGAAAACCAAATTAGCCCTCTGCTAGTGACTGTGTACCTTTTATGAAGGAACAGGAGCCAGATCCCCTGCTCAGGAAGAGAACCTACAGATTGCTGGGTGAAGAGGAGTTTCTAGGATCTGGGGTATTACAACTGGAGCTGCTGGCTAGCACTCCAGCAGAGACTGTGTCAGAGAGAAGAAACTGTGAATAGTTCAAGAAGTTGTCCTCAGATTTCAGTTCCATTGGGCATCCTATACACCCCTATACCCTATCCAAGTTTATTCCCCTCAATAAAATAACAAAACCAATGCTCAAGGTTTGATTTCTGTCTGTGGATGAAAGCTGTGTGGAAAATGCTGACTGGCTGTGCATGACTATAAGGGGACTCTGTCTGCTCTGTTCTAAGTGGGGTGCAGCGGCAATAACACACAGTCCAGGTGCGATGAAAGAACTTGTGTTGAAATAATGCAAAGACAATTCACAATAAACCTGGAGGGAAAACAGCCCAAACAGGCACACTCACAGGTCCAACAGCGTGTAGATAGCAGGTTTCAGCTGAACTGACAGCGCCTGTTAGGAGGGGCAGAATGCGGCCTGGCTGTCTTGTGTCCAAGCAGGAGGATGCACAAGAATACATACAATCACTTTGCAAAAACTTCAGACTAAAGTGAACGCTTTAATTGGATTCCCCATGCTTAAACATGGTAGTGGTAGTGAACCATGAAGAGCATGTAGGCAGGTGCAGTCTACTTTTGCCAC